AGAGAGTGGTGGGGACTGATAAAGGGGGAGGGGGTGGTGCTGGGCCTCATCGTCCATCGTTGTCGTCGTCGTTTTGTCGTTGTCGCGTTGTCGTCGTTGTTTTGTCATCGTTGCGTTGTCGTCGTCGCGTGTCGTCGTTTGGACGTGGACGTTGTCGTTGTCGTTGTCGTGGTCATTGGTGGGGTGCTGCTCGCCGTTTGTTGATCGTGGTGGTGGTGGGCACTCCTGGGTGGCAGTGGGCGCTGGTCGGCGTTGTTTGAGGGTGCTGGTGGGTGCGTGGTGTGTTGTTCGTGGCTGGCTGGTGTGGTGGTCGTGGTTGGAGCCATCGTTGGTGCCGTGGGGCCTCGTTTGGTTGGTGACGTGGCATTGCGGCGTTCGCGTGGTGGGCGCTCGTGGATAGTGGTGGGCGCTGGTCGCCGTTGGTTGATGGAGGTGCTCGTGGATGGTGGTCGGCGCTCGTGGATGGTGCTGGCGCCACGTCGTTGTCGTTGTCGTTGTCCGTTTCGTTGCCACGTCGCTGGCCGTGGTCGTCGCCGTTTGTTGCTGGGGTGGTCGTGGCCGTTGTTGGTCGTGTGGCGTTGTCGTTGTTGTCGCTGTTGTCAATGTGGTTGGTGGTGGGTGGAAAGGAAAGGGTATTGCATTTGTTTGGTAACGTTGCCGTTGTTTGGTAACAGAAGTAAAATAAACAAACAAAGGACCGGATTCCGTTCCATTCCATTCCTGTCAGTCCTGCGGAACATTCCGGTGTCAATTCCGGAATGCCCAAATTCCGCCGGAATGGTAAGGCACCGGAATGACAAAAATAGCAGGCCTCCCTGCCAAATTTCATTCCTCCGGAATCCACCGGAATCCGCAGGAATGACCAGATTCCTGCAGGAATTAGGGGGGCACTGATAAGACCTCGAATGGCCTGCAAACATGATTTTTTTGTTAGATGTCAAATGCTTCAGTGCTCGAGCCTTTATTGCCTCCAAAGACATGGTAGAATACTCTTCTCCAGTCAGCCCTTGAACTACAAAAGTACAAGGACCCTCTTCGGTACCTATCTCTTCTTCATTATCATGAACACTTGTAGCCTCTCGCTCCCTATTTATTATTGATTGACGATAGTCAATTACAACTGGTGCATCACTCAAAGGGTACTGGCTCAAATTCTCCTGTGATATTCCGATGTCAAAGTAGTCAGAATGGTTCAATTTTAACCACTCAAGTGCTTTTGAAATCTGCTTTTGACGGACCAGCAATGGTGTACGTTGAAGGTCTTTTTTGGTAGGTTGACAAGGTCCAGTAAACATAACAGCCAAGACTTCATCAAGTTCTTCAAGAGGAGGAGGAAGAGTGTCATAAATCTTTGCAACAGGATTTTGGAAAGTTATTGCATTTGCATGCATCTTGTACCGTCCAGAGGCTACTTTGATTATACAGCGATTGTGGCGAACACATGATATGAGCAGCTGTTCAACGTAAGTTAAGCAGGCAAGCTCATCAGGAATTTTACCAAGCCAAAAACCACTTGTGTAAGAGGGCCATTGCAAGCATGGCAGATACAAGTCCTTTTTATATTCAGGAAGCCACAATGCAGCACCACAGCATTCACATTTTTGATTATTTAGGAAACTGGTCATGTGACCACCTCCTGAAAGCCCATCAGATCTATACCCATTATATATATATATTATTGCTATTTTTTATTGGACAAATTGTATATTTCCATATATATAAAATACTGGACCTTACAGAGAGTCCCTACCTTGAAAGTGACAATAAGTACTATGCTCCATTTTTCACTAAATTTTTCCAGTCCTTTATTTAGATCTCATCTCTCATCTCTTGTCCTCTTGGCATCACAGATTCTGATGACACATGAAACTTCCCCCCATCAAATGATCAGGAAATGTTCGTGCATCATAGAATCTTGAACATTTGTACTGAGGCTGTGCAACTTCGGTAGTATTCATCATAGATTCCGATGACGCACGAAACTTCCCCCCATCAAATGATCGGGAAATGTTCGTGTGTCATCAAATCTAGCTCTTCAAGTTCAACTTCCCATGCCACCTTCTCTTTGCCACAGCACCCTCTCTTTGTGGTGCACTCTGGTGTTTTGCTGAGCGCTCTTCATCTTGGCCAGTCCAAACGATTTGTGCAACATATCTACTGCATATCTGTCTCCTTTACACGCTCATCATTGTCTTGGCCAATCCAAATGATTCAAGTGCCACATATCTACCACAATTGTCTCATTGAGCAATATGCCAGCTTCACCATGCCATCTCTATGCACCTGTTGTCGTCTTGGCCAGTCCAAACACTTCGACCATGTTCATCTTGTGGAGTAATTCACTGGGTTCTCCAATCCCACCATTTCCTCTTCATTGCAAGCATGCTAAGCGCCAAGATCCAAGCACATGGATTCAATTACCATCAACTGTGTTGCAGGGGTGCCACCATTGAACAGACTGGTGTTAAAGGTGTGAAGGGTACCCACTGCTATTCTACTACTTGCACACATCTACTACTTGCACACATGTAGTAGTATCAAAACAAGTCTACACTGAAGGGAATCAAGCCACAGGGAGGTCTTGGCAGAGTTTAGCATAAGTTCAAAAGACACGAAATTACAAACAGACATACCTCCACAAAGGGTCAACGGATTCATAAGCAGTTTGTTGGAGCGTTTTCAAGATGTGAAGTAGTGTCCAAATGAGTCTATGTTGAAGGAAATTGAGCCACAGGAAGGTCTTGGGCAGAGTTCACCATAAGGACAAAAACATGAAAATACAAACTGACATACCTCCACGAAGGGATGACAGATTCATGGATTGTTTGTTGGAGCGTCTTCGGGACGTGTAGTAGTATCCAAAAGAGTCTACATTGAGGGAGATCGAGACACAGGAAGGTCTTGGGCAGAGTTTAGCAGAAGTGCGAAAACACGAAAGTACAAATAGACGTACCTCCACGAAGAGTTGACGGTTTCGTAAACGGTTTGTCAGAGCGTTTTAGTAATCCAAGTAACAAAAATAAAATGAGAATACAAACAGATGCAAGGGCTGGAGCATCTAGAGGGATCAATGTTTTCAGACAAACAATGCTTGTTTGCTTTTCCAATAATTCTAGAGTGGCAGGTTTTGTAAAAGCTTTGCAAGTAGCAGCTAATTGCACCAGATCGCGAAGCGAATCAATCTGTGTGAAGATCAATGATCTCACTTCTGCAATATTCCATGCTTGATGCATAATAGACTTGTGTAAGAGGGCCATTGCAAGCATGGCAGATACAAGTCCTTTTTATATTCAGGAAGCCACAATGCAGCACCACAGCATTCACATTTTTGATTATTTAGGAAACTGGTCATGTGACCACCTCCTGAAAGCCCATCAGATCTATACCCATTATATATATACAGTTGAGTGGCATTCTCAGAGTTAATCCGCAGCTTAGTGGCCTGAAAGAACTTGATGTCAAAAGGAGTCTGCCCTGCGAGAGCAAAATCTAAATATTGATAAGCACTTGCAAAATACAATAACTATACATTACTCACCAACGGATGGGGCTCTCCACGACGTGGGTTCCCAATCACACTGCCATTCAATGTTGTACTTCTCCTTCTCCTCGAGGGCGAGAGAGCGCGAAGGAACACGTTCTTTATATGCCCATGCAGCCTTCAGAATCGGATCCACCTCAAGAATGTTGGCAATCTGTTTACTGAGCAAATGGGAGGTGCAACGGGGGACTCCACCATAACTCTTTGCTTCAGCAAGGCTTTTGTAGTCTGATAGACTAGCCAAAATCTGAACAAAAAAAAGAGATATCAGATCGTCGGCAAGACCATCCAGTGGGCCAGTGAAAGTGGCACAGGAATGGAGCCACTTGAGGATGTGTAAAGCCATGCCACGTGCATAACAATACGTGATTCTTTCATTGTTGGGAATGGCATTGATGTCACCAGTGTCCATCAATGTTCTTTGGGTAGGAGAGGCTTCATCATCTTCCCCTTGATTTGGAGTGCTGTAAGTCCTGAAATCCAGAACATTGCCAAGAATAATCAGGACTGCAAGACAGATGATATGGAGCACGCCCTCCATTGTCTCGATGTTAGGTAGATGAACTGATGCAGGATCTGCAAGTGGAAATGAGTCAAAGATATAAACAATGAGGGAAGAATCTCACCGTCGTCAGAGATGCCACCCTCAATGAGGCCAACTTGGTAGAAGATCAGGATCCTCCGCAATAGGTGACGAGAGGGAATATGCTCTGTCTTTGTTAAAAACTTGTTGAGAACAAAGGCATGTACAACGCCTTGCAGAGTCTCCTGCATAAGATACGAGGAATAGTAATGACTGCCCTGTGCAATCACATCATCTATGCCATATACCCAATGTGCAGAATTGGGCAGCATATGACTGCAATATCATGAGACAATGCCATGATTATCAACACAACACTCACAGTTCATCACCAGGCCGAAGAACAACAGCCTCAAAGTCATACTTGATATCCTTGGGCTTCCCAGAGAGAGAAAAACCATCTTCATCCATGTAGAAGTCAATTGAAGAGAGTTTTTTCGAATCTTGCGGTCTCAAGAAGGCCCACAGTTTTCGTCCAACTTTAGTGCCATATCTTGTGTTAAACCCATCGCAGTCAATGTGGAGAAAAGTGAGAACGTGCTTAAGACCAGCAATACCCCATTCACAGTCCTGGGTTGGGAAGGGTCCATGAAGCGGAATTCTGTGGGTCCCACAGGTAACATTCCATGCAACACCATCTGTTTCATAATTGTTCGAAGGACGATAGGAAGACCACATGGGGAGGTCAAGTCCATTCAAAATCTTGCTGGTGCTCGAGGCATTCTCAAGAAGGTCGTTAACATGGCCACTGACAACAGAGGGAACACAGTCGGTCCCTGGGTTGATGACTGAGAAGTCTACAACAACGATTTAGATTATTAGACCAAATATATATATATATAAGTTCAAACGAACCAGTAATGGAGATCTGTGCAGTCATGGAACCAACAACGGTGCAAAGGCCTTTGGCATCGAACTGCATCTTTTCATCAAAGGGGAGCCCAGTGACGACGACCTGTTTATGGCGCATTTTGTTCTGGATGTCTGAGGCAGACATGGTCAAAAAGTCTTGATGATGCAATTTTGCCAGATAAGAGTTTTGCAGATCCACGATGTGAGGAGGACGACCCTCAATGTAACCATCATAAACAAGTTCCATAAACTCTTGGAACCAGTCATTGAAGACACCATGCTGAATGATGAAATATAAATGATTATTAAAACTCATAAACAAGTTTGACACGTACATGGAATTCTGGCGTGAATTCATGAGGATTGCCATCAATATTGTAAACTGTGAATGACCGGTCACAGACAATGCGAGGAGCTTCTTCTTTACTAAGAGAAATCTCTTCGTCCTTGCCCTGTAAAGCTGATTAGCATGGACAAGACTGAAATGAAATGAAACACACATAATCGTGCAGTATTGCAGGTTCAAACATTGAGAGAAACTCATCAACATTGATTGGCTTATCTGGAGAATTCCCAATAGAACCGAATCGAGAGCGTTTCCTAGGATTATTCTCGCCACCAGTCGCTTGGGAACCCTCCGCTTTGGGTCCCTTAGCGTCTACCTTTGATGAGCCAACTCTGGGTTTCTTCAAGTTTCCAGGATCACCCCTTCCACCCCTGTTGCCTGAGGTATTCCCAATAGGCTTCTTGACACCACTGTCTGTAGACTCATCTGACGATGATGACAAAGATTCTGGCAATGATGTGTAACATGATAGTACAGTAAGCCTCACCATCTCTACATCTTACTTTATGATACTTCCCACTCCCCGAGATTCAACTCTCGCTCCACCTCTCTGTGTTTCATTTATTTACGCGTTATTACTTTTCATTACATAAGCATTGTACTTACACCTCATGTTTTACATGAGGTGAATATATCTTCTTTTCACCACCAACCACTCTGTATCGCTCGATACTAGCCCTACTAACGGCTGCATCTAGCTCTCAGAGAATGCGTGGATTACAAGAGGTCGTGACCGCTGCTAGAGCAATCTTCACTGGAACTGTCCGTGAAGATCGGGATACGAGTACCGTGAACTGTCACGTTCTACGATCCCGCGCATCTAGTCACCTTACTTGACCTCTCTGAGGGTCACCACACCTCTGTACGTGTATTCGTCAGACTCCCTACGACTGTCCCACTTCTTTGAGGACGCTTTCGCTAAGAAGTGTTCCACAAAGGTGGACACTGTGGGAACCAGTCGCATATCTGACCGATACGCATCTCATTCATCCATCTAATCGGAATTGCATTCACCTACGCTCGTCGGACGAAGACGCCCTCACGACATCGAATTAACCTAAAACACTCAATCTTCGTTCGCCCTCTCAGTCAATCTGTCCGACTTCCGTCGCTCCAAGACTACCCCCTCGGTTTCCAGAGGGGGGAGACCAGCTTTTTCCTTCCCTAGCACGCTTGGGACTTCTAGACTCCCGATTCCGACGTCGACTCGCCCCAGTAGCAGCAAGACTTCGGTCCCCGAAGTCCCAACGCCCGAGACTACGTGGAGGAAAGGTCCTACTTTGGCTTTGACTCTGCAAGCCCCAATAGGCAGCAAGGAAACTCCAGTCATGCGAGACCCCCCTCCTCATCAACCACTTCCCTCAGGCCCTAGTGGATCTGCTTCACCGACGATCACCCCAATCTCCAACGAATCCGTCCCAACGACTTCTTTGAGCGCGGTCGAACCAACAGTCAATCCAGCGTTGAATTCGAGTTCGAACCGTCAAGGCATGGAGAGGGGCTATTCTCTTTCGCCAATGTACAGCCTTATCCTTGAGTACAATCGAGAACAAGGCGACAACCTTTCCACGGCTGCGGAAGTTTCGTGGATTTTGCAGAAACCCATCCTCAAACCTCAAGATATCGAGAAAGGGGGAGACGACTCTGATCCCTATACCGCGGTATGACTGGTCGACTCGGAACTGCAACCTATCCTACGCGTAGTTACAGAACTACAAGTATTCTTGGACCGAATGGCCCAACTCATCGATGAACGCACCAAAGTATTCCGGGTCGATCCGAGCGAGACAATGACCTTGGCCTTACAAGGTTGTGCAAGCCGGTCCCAGTTAGAAATGGCATACAAGATCCTGCTCAGGCGGCTGCTTACCGCTCAACAAACGATCATGAAATACGAAACACAGTATCGTCAATCGGAGGTTCCGCTTTCCCCACTATCGACAGTTCCGGAACTATACGACGAGATCGACAACATCAATAGCGTCGACGATAGAATGAGGTTCATGTTGGATAACGTACCCCGCCACCAAAACCAGATCTTGTCGGGCGCACGAGAAGCTCTCAGGGATGGACTAGGCTGGGACGTGATTTGTCCAACACCCCCTTTACCATCAGCTGCTATCTCGCAACCTTCAACCTCAGAGTTCTCCCGGACCCGAATCGCTCAAGGAAAGAAAAAGGTCGATTGGGATGACAGTGCTCCGTGGGAGAATACCTCCACTAGCGTCGAACAGGGCAGGAACCTCGATGAAGGACTGGAACCATCCTTTGGGTTTCAGACGCCCTTCAAAAAGGGAACTCATTTCTTTGATACGACGACGGAAGGTCTTTCCCCAGCCTTCTTCTCTATGCCTGGGCTCGGCTCTGCCACGGACGTGACTGTAGGCTTGGCTACTCCCTCTAGGACTGAACTAAGCGAGAATGTCAGGGAGTACAGCGCGAATCAAGGGACGAACGCCCTCACTATAACCAAACGAATTCCAGATTCCACTCAAGCAGCCACCACCGCTCCGACCAGCAGTTCTTCCTTCAAGAACGTCAACCCTTTCGCCTCAAACGGCTACAATGGATCTCCACAAGTCCCTCCGAATGGAGGTGGTGGGAACGGCGGAGGGGGTGGTAACAGTCCCCAGAGAGGCGGTGGTAACGGCCTTCCCCACTCAGGGGGAGGAGGAGGAGGCGACCCAGGCAGAGGTCCTCACAACCCAGGAGGTGGCGGAGGACCAAGCAATAATCTCCCTCCTCGAACGCCACAGTTCTACAGCAACCCCGGCGGGGGAAGCGGAGGTGGCGGAGGAGGAGATCCAGGGGGAGGCGGAGGACCAAGCCCCCAGAATAACGATTCTTGGCCGCCAGCTCCGTATGGCAACATGCCCGCTTCGATTAAAACGGAACTAAAGGTGGAGCAGCTGCCCGAGTGGGATGGAAACCACTGGACGGCGATCGATTACTTTTGGCAAATCCAGCAGCTAGCGTACCTAGGAGGCTGGCTTCCCGAGGCTTTAGGCTATTGGTTATGGTTCCATTTGAAAGATAGTTCGCCCGTTCGTCGCTGGTTCGTGACTTTACCGTTAGCACACCAGAGTTACATGCGATCCCACTACCTGAGATTTTTAAAAGGCATCAAAGATGGCTTCCTTGGACACTGCTGGCAACTAAAGATGAACAATTACTATAATGCTCAAACCTTCAGGGAAAGGAATCACGAGAGGGAATTGCCCTCAGAGTTTATTATAAGGCGAATCATATATACTAGAATGCTCCTCTCAGTTGACGCTGGGGGGCCTCTCAAAGTCTTTTACATCATGAGGAAAGCTCCCATGAGCTGGGGTCCTATCTTGCTTTTGAGTAGCATCAAGGACTCGAGCGAACTGTATTCACAAGTTACTGAGCACGAGGAGGCTCTCTTAGAAGCTTACCGCGTTTCGAGGGGAGGCCAAACCCCTTCTATCGACAACATCGTCACGCAGCTTAAGCAAATGGGTTTCGTTCAAGAAAGACAATCTCATCAGAGGCGAGCGAACATGGTAGAATACAGTGCTAGTACCGATTTCATGCCAGTACCCTCTACAGACGACGTAGTGTCGGCTTCATCGACTGCCGTCGAGGACCTCAGTTCTGGGCAATACATTCTACGTGAAGCTTACCAAGTTCTACGACAGAGACCACGCCTACCTCCCAAAGGAGGATATCCTTTCTCGAAGAATGATCACATTACAACGAAAATGGGGAAAATGCCCCCTTCTCCGTGCAAATGCTGTGGCAGCGCGAATCACTGGGATAAGGAATGTCCAGACTGGAATACTTACCTGGAGAGAGCGAAGCGTTCAGCCAATTCGGTAGAGATCTGGCCCGAGGACGAAGCTGATAAAGCTTACGCGTCAGCATATTCAGTCCTTCTGAACGAAAGGTTAACCGACCAGTCAACTAATCAACCAGTACCCCTCGAGTCTCCCATTCAGCAGGGTTTTGAACAGGCATCGTCCACTTCGCAGACCCCTGCGGAGGAGGCAAGTAAGACCAGCGTTGCGGAAGCGTACAAAGCTTCCAGACGGGCTTCTGTGGAAGAAGTGGAAGACGAGGATTACATAGCTCACCTAATTAAACCCAAGTCTCCAAAACATCTATTGGAAAAGATAGACGAGTTAGGATTCGAGGATAACGAAGATTCAGAGAAGGTAGAGCCGAACTTCAGATCCCCTCCACTTCATTCAGACGAGTTCGATTCGCTGGCGTCAGACCTGCAGACGGAGGAGGCTCCAACTAAGGAAGCTTACTCTTCGAACACGACAACAGGACCGCCCACAACCGACCATAAAGTTAAATTGAAAAAGAGGCGCTTTACGCCCGCAGGGTCTTCAGCCGTAGGAGTCTCTGTAGTCGCGGTCCAAGGCTGGGTTGGATCTCAGAGGAATGACCAAATCGACTTGAGATTAGACTCTTGTGCCGACGTCACGTTAATCTCACAAGAATACTTAGAGTCCCTTAAAGACCGCCCTGCATGTCAGAAGGGATTGAAAATGGACTTGTGGCAACTTACCGACAAAGACTCTAAAATCCAGGGCTACGTTCGGATCCCCATCTTTATGGAATCCTCGGAGGGAGTGATCATCGAGACAGAAGCTGAGGCTTATGTCGTCCCCGACATGACCATCCCCATCTTGTTAGGAGAGGATTACCATCTGAACTATGAACTCACCGTTGCTCACAGAATCGATTTCAAGTCAGTAGTTAATTTCTCCGGCGCGCCCTATTCCGTTCCCGCCAGGGGAGTAAGTCGAACCGGCGACTTCAGTTGAATGCAACAAAGCGCCAGCACCGTCGCTAGTTTCATTAAATCGAAGTTGCACAAGAGGAATAAGGCGAAGAAAGCCAGGGACAAGAAAAGATTTGGAATCGAAAAGAGAACCGTACGCGCCTCGGAAGATTGTCGCCTTCGTCCGGATGAGTGTCGGAGGATACGTGTCGATGGCCACTTCGAAGAAGACAGAACTTGGCTAGTTGAGAAAAATTTGTTAGCCTCCAACAATGATTCAGCTTTCATCGTTCCTAACGTACTGATCTCGGCATCTGATCCATGGATCCCCATCTCCAACCCTTCTCCACATCCGAGAATGATCAGGAAAGGAGACATAGTGGGTTACTTAGTTGACCCACAAGAATTTTTCGACACGCCAAGTTCTAAAGACGAATTCGAAAAGCTCGCCCGCTCCGCACAAGCTATTGCGGCCATCATATCGATTTCTTCGGAAACAACCCAAGGAGAAACTTCGCAGAAGTCAGAACCCTCGGAACACGACGAGGTCCCCGAGGATCCCACGATAAAAGTGACTCCCGCCGAAGAACCTGAGGCCTTCGGTCCGAAAACCGCAGAGTTGCCAGACTTGACGACATACCCCTCTGAAAAAATGGAGGAATGGTTAGACGTAGGCTCTCTGCCAGAGCATCTAAGAGAAAGAGCTTGGGAAATGCTGAAACGACGCCAACGGG